AGGTGATGAAGGACTGGTAGTAGAATTTTCCCACAATGATATGAGTTGAGCTGACGTTTCCATTGCATTAGAACAACTTTTGGGAAAGAAAGGCTATGTGAGATTCAATGGAAAAGTCAGCTAAACTCATATCATTATGTTTTTGGGAAAGCAAGGCTATGTGAAATTCAATGGAAACGTCAGCTCAACTCATATCATTGTGGGAAAATCTTTGGGAAAGCAAGGCTATGTGAAATTCAATGGAAAAGTCAGCTAAACTCATATCTGCTATATCATATTCTTTTTGTGAAATTCAATGGAAACGTCAGCTCAACTCATATGATTGTGGGAAAATTCGCTACCAGTCCTTCATCACCTTACACGAAATAGGGTGAATACATCTCATTACACTGATTTACTGGTAGTCTTGAAACCCTACTCAAATACGACTACTTATATTCAGTTTGAGTAGGTCCCCAAATTAGCAGTAAATCTTGCATTATAGCTCTATTCACCTTAGATAAGTGAAAGAAAAAAGCCGAGTCAAGTCCACTCTTCACTTCACAAATTAAACTGGTTCCATAATAGTCACAGCACCAGACTTGATCGCATTCGAATGAATGGTCGTCAAGCCATGACACTGACCGGCCAGAGAGTGTTGTCAACATCTGATGTCTTTTTCGCCAAAATGGCGATGTTTGTTGCTTTTTGCCTGGTATGGTGGGAAGCCGAAGACACCAGATTATCCATCCGTTCTGGCCAGCCTAACAGTCGTCTTGACTGTGTTTTCTGGTCTAGCTGACCACTCCCGTAAGTGGGGTTGGCAAGAGGGTGGTCGGCCAGAGTCCCCTGGAGTGGTGGTCTCCTGTCAAATAGATGAATTTGATACTTTCATATGGACTTTGCAAACAGCCTTCTCTTTACTCGCATATGGGCACAGAAGCAAAAGCCAACGGACAGTTGTGATTGCACGCAACCGAGTAACCTGAGAGGGGCCGACTGCGTAAAAGTTGACAGAGTCGCCAGCGTTGCCTCGTCCGCCTCACTTCACCAGAATGTCAGCATTTCAGGTTCTCTTTTCTCGACTGGCGAGCCCAGTTGTGTGAAGAGGACACAGCATTAGCCCACTAATGCGCTCTATTTCAGGCCTGACCAAAGTGACCTTCTAGAGGGTGCCACTGCTCCTCTGCGCTTTCGAGCACCAATGACAGGGCGTCTGAAAGCATGTCTGAAAAAATAGAATAGACCCAACTCACTCGGCCGGACAAAGGGGCCGAGCTATCCTCATGCCAAGGGTGGAATCGGACAAATGAGAGTATATCATTAACTAATTGGATTGATGGATAGACGGATTCAATGGAAGAGCCGATGCAATAGTGTCTGGCTGCCGGGGTAGCTGAGCGGCTGGCCAGCTGAGTGGCTGGTTGTGAGAAGAGGGATAGGACAAACGAAAAATGGTGAGTTTGAGCGACCAAGCAAGAGCGACATGGGCCAGGGGGAGGGAGAAAGGTGGGTTGAGTGAGAGGGGGTTAAGGGCTCGTGGGTTCGTTGGATTTCTAGCTTTGATACTCTTTCCCTGACGGCCAAGACGGAAAGAGAGTAGACTGTTGGAAACAAAAAACAGACAACGCATGTGAACCGCGTAAACGACCCGTCGAGGAGGGCTCGTCCATACGGGTCACCAACACCGTCCTGGAGTGGTTAAGCCCGAAATGGTTCGAACACTCGAGAGAGAGAGAGAGATAGAGAGACAGAGTGTGTGTGTGTGTGTGTGTGGGAAAGTGGGGAAAAGATCAAGTTTCATCGGACTGCTTGAAATGGCGTTACTGCAGAGATTCTATTTCAGAACTTTCCGCCCATACCTCGCAAAGTAAAGGGAATGGGCGAGTCTGATTTTGACACGATTTTGTTCACCCGTTTAATGGGATAAAAGTCGAGGGAGTGCTAGAGGACAGGCAATCTGGTTGGTTCGGTCCAATAGTTGCTAATGCCTGGTATACCCATGGCGAGCCAAGGCAACAACTGTATGATGTCGTAATAGCGCTGTCGAGAAAATCAGGAAATCTCATTCTAAAAGTGAAGATACACCATCTGTCGACTGCTATTTTTATTCGGCATTGGGTATGTTTTCGAAGCCCCCATTATATCAGACAGATTAGTTGTGTTCACCCTATTTCGTGCAAAGTGATGAAAGATTGGTGGCTGAATTTTCACACAACGGTATGAGTAGAGCAGACGTTTTCATTGAACTTCCCAAAAGATGTTCTCACCTAGGTTGGACAATATAGGATGAACACAATTCACATATCTGATTTACCGATAGTCTCAAAAACCTATTTAATGACGAATAAAGTAATGTCGTCGATTGCTATAGCAAATATAAGTTTGCTTCATCGACAATCCCAACACAGAATGTGATATAGAAAATGCCTGACCTTCCTTGAAATTCATAGCTGCCCTATGATCCAAGGGCACTCGTGACAATGTGGCGTAGTGGTTAACATGTCGAGTTTACAGACTGCCCTGCCATGGTTCGACTCCCGACGTGGGTGTTGATAAGACCTAGGCGAGGTCGAAACTGTAATCCATCCTGGATGAGAATACCTCTTGAGAAAGCAAGGCTGTGTGAAATTCAATAGAAATGTCGGCTCTACTCATATCAATGCGGGAAAATTCAGCTACCAGTACCTCATCATTGCATTTTATGCATTGATATTTCGTCTGCCAAGGAAGAAGAGATTAGATGTAGCTTCACTTTAACCTTTCACTCTAAGCACGGATACTTAGTGAGGGCTGGACCCCGGTCCCAACTTCGTCAAGGTATAGCATCTACCCCAAAAGGGACTACGAACCGAGCGGTACCGCTTGGTTCATTGCTATCGGGACTGAAGACTTTCGAAAAATGAGTCACCATTTTTGTGCGGTTTTAGAGGAACTGCTAGCAATTCTGGCTTGATTGAGATTATAGACAGATTGCCGCTTAACAGCGTGTTTTCACGCGCAGAGTTCGAGTCCCGCTGAGGGTGATTTTTTGAACTTGATGAGGCGATGATTGGAAACTAGCGCACCTTGGCAAAGATTATCTAAAATTTTTAGCTTTCTGCAAGATGCAATTATTTTTGTGTACATTTACATCTCTTTATTGGTGATCAATTTAGCCGATGACGACTGCAAACATCAACTAGTCCACAGTTGTGATGTGGCCTGTAAAGTTTAAGGAAACGGCAAGACCCATCACAACTCCAAATATAAACAAAAGGGAGCAATGTTAGAGCAAACTATGAGGAATTTGGAGTGAATCTGGTCAAATTTCTTGTCTTGAAGCGGTTGTAATACAACCTCACAGGAGCAGAGCAGAGAGCCAAGAACAGAGCTCAGTATCCATGGCTTTAAGTCGTCATCAGTGGGAATTCTTCTCTTAGCCAAACTGAAATGAGGCTGAGCAATAGGCCTAGTAATCCCTTGGTGGGAATCAGAACACTTAGGTTTCTGCAAGCTAAGAGTTAGTCAAGATCTGCTGATAGTTTCGAAATCTACTCGCAACTAAAATGAGTAATATGGTCGAATTAAATGAAAGATATATATATATATATATATATAATTGTCCTGCCGACAATTCCTCAATTAGCGTGATTTAGGTGAGGCCTGACTTGCCTTGAATGCCATTGTGTGCACTGTCGCCCACTATTAATTTGGGTGCTCTGGTGTGGTGGGGACATGCACGATTTGACTTCGAATCCAGTTGATGGTACTGAAGGGACGGTGAGGCAAGGTCGAAACTTTAGTCCAGCTTGGATTATAGCCACTTTACTGAGGTGATGTGGAAACTTCTATTTATCATTCCTAGGCAACCAAGGGAGACTAACATTCTTCTACTCAAGGGATTTCTGCATCGGCCGAAAGGTCCTTGACATATGATTGACCCAAAATTGTGGCAAGAAGGTAGTTTCCTGCTAAGAGGGTGTCTGTTTCATAGTGTGGGAAACAAGCTCTGCTGGCTATAAGTTGTCTCTTCAAGTGTGGATTAAATGAACATCAAGAAGTGCCTGTGTTTCGGGATATTTTGCTTACTGAGCTGAATTTTATTTTGTGTGAAAATGCTCACTTCGAATACCAGTCTTACCACAAAACAGCCACGGCTTTTTTTTGCTTTGTTGCCAGTCGCTGCTACTGGGATACTCACTCTGTGGCAATTATTTCACACACAAACACACCCACACACATATATATACATGTAGATTCACAAACATGACAAACCCAATTCCTCTATGCCTCTCATAAGTTTCATTTGTATGGATGAGCTAAGCGGTTTTTTTCAGTCAGGTGGGATGACATAATAAAACTTTGCACGTTTGCACCGGAACAGGAGGAGGGTTCTTGAGCACTGCACCAACTTGGATGTTCCAATCCAACCAAGTGACAACAGAATTGTGGGATCCATCGTTGTCTTCCAGTGCTAACCTCTTCACTCAGTGCTTTCAAATAAAAGGAGAGCAATCTTAACAATGCTATATCTTGACATTTATGGACAACTTCCTTCCTTTTCTACATTCTGAGACTATCTGTCTCATAAAAGACAACATCAGACCTGGACTTCATTCCTACAACTCCGAGCGCTAATCGAGTCCGGAAAATAAACCTTCCGTGTACATTATCTTTAGAGTGAACTCTAGTTTGTCAGTTTGCAGAGTCCCATTCATCTATGTACCATTTATGTGTTTATAGTATTTATATTTGTTTATGATTATGTGTATTTTCGTGTTCTTGTAGTTTAATGCATATATGGATGTATTTGTTCCTGTGTGTGAAATAGTCTGCCTTATCGAAGGGTCATTGTGAATTATCACGTGTTACTAATAAGCGTCGTGTTATTGTAGGACCCGGCTAAAAGAAGATGTAATTGACTTCCGTTCTGAACTCAGCCGAACAAAAAAATAAATGCTAATCAAGTAAGATGGGGGAGGCGGTCTTTTTTAGTTAGTGAGTCTTGCGATGTGGATGGAAGGGATTGCTGATGGTACAGATGTCGCTACTGCGCTGACAGAAGCCTCCTGGGCGAAGAAACGTATGCTGCTGTGATGCACAGAATCAATAAATCAAGAACATTGGACAGCTGAAATCCTGCTTATTTTGTATACCTAACTTTGATATAACTTTTATGGGCCGCCTCATTAAGAGGGTAAAGTAAGTGGATTTGCGGCCGCCCACTATCCTTGGTTTATGGTTTTTGTTACATTTTGCGCCAATGATGGTTTATGGCTCTGAAGATGTCCGTCACACAAGAGAAGAACGCTCAGCTCATCGGACCGAGATCTTCACGGTATCAATCTATTGAGTGATCCTTTAAAAACCAATTTCTATTCATTTTAGGATTAGACTGTCAGCGAGTCGGTCCGGTCTTTAGGACTGTAGTTCTGATGGTTGAACTCGTGAAAAATGCGCAGAAAAATTGGGTTTTGAGGAATCTCTTGTTCCATAATTGTTAAGCTTACTTCCATTTCCAGTGAAAGTGTTGGGTAAAGAGAACTCGTTAAGCCTTTTGGGTCGGAGGTGGTGCAGGCGAAGTCCACAGTACAGTTTATGAAAGGACGTTTGACCAACGGACCGAGCGTTCGAGCCACTTTTGCGAATGAGGGCCTAAACTTTTCGCTTCTTAGATCATTTGCCAGGAGCGACGAAATCTGACCGAATTTCTCATTCATCAACAGTTACATCTATTGTGCCGGTTGGTTATGGTCCAAGAGGTCTGTTAACATTTCGGGGGTGAAGCGTCAAAAATGTAGCATGCCGTGGCGATAGGACAAGTGCAGCCCCAACGAATGTATGAAGTCGGTGGATTATAGCAAATTTGAGTCGCCTCAATTGGACGAAATAGGAGGAATCCAGGTCTTCTATCAGATCTAGTCTCGAAAACTTAATATAAACTGAGCATAGGTCCTTAGCTGAAGTTATTTCTGCTAAACTCCCTACATTCAGCGTACCAACTGATCTTTTGAGTTCAGAATCCCCTCAGTGTGCTCGTGCCACACAACGTACTGCAAGCTCTTGTTTAGTCGCCGCCGTGTGGCCGACAACCTTTAAAAACTATAATCAACATAATCTCATTTCACGACATCCTATAGAGATTGGGGGGAGTGGACATTCTAAAAGAGGGTATCCCATATTATCATATAATATTTTATAGCAGCTTGACTTTCACAAAA